TATATCCCCTTCCCGCCAGGCAAAAAGCACTTTGAGAAGCGGGTGGGCAGAAGGAGCGACCGAAGCGCGCGCCCCGCCTTCCGCCTCAGTTTCTCCGGACGCCGAAGCCCCGCCCCTGGCACCCAGGCCAGGTCTACTCTGCTGTGCCCCCCGGCCCGCCCACGCAGGGGCCTCACCTGGAGCCCGCGGCGCCGCAGGAGGCTCGGCTCGTCCATGGCCCGCTAGTCCGCACCGCCCGGCCCGCCCCCGGCCCCGCCCCAACCTGCCAAGCCCCGCCGCCCCGCGCCATTGGTCAAGCCGGTCAGCTGATGTGGCCTGGCCCCGCCCCTCCCTCGGAACCCTCCTGGAAGGGCCCCGCCTCCATTGGATCGCCGGACCGCCCTTCCAGGCCCCACCCAACCCCCCAGCCAAGATGAAAACATTTTTTTTTTTCAATGACTCCTCCTAGAAGTAAGAGAACATTATCATCCCCATTTTGCAGATGAAGAAACTGAGGCTCCTAGAAGTTAATTAATGTGCCCAGGGCACGCAACAGGTTGTAGGGTGAGGTGAATTCCATTCAAAATTTAAGGGAGCCCACAAATATCAGTAATTAAGAGACACAAGATTTTTTTTAAAAGATTTTATTTATTTATTTGAGAGAGAGAATGAGATAGAGAGCATGAGAGGGAGGAGGGTCAGAGGGAGAAGCAGACTCCCCGCCGAGCAGGGTTGGGACTCCATCCCGGGACTCCAGGATCATGACCTGAGCGGAAGGCAGTCGTTTAACCAACTGAGCCACCCAGGCGCCCAAGAGACACAAGATTTCAATACGATAGTTTAAAGAATCTCAACTAATGCAAAAGATGTGTGATGAACTAAACATCACAATTTCAAATAAAGACAGTATCAGACTCTGCCCTTACATGAGCCTGCCTTTCTCGTTTCAGGTTCCCTTGGCTACTCCACTGTTGGACGTAGGCCTTACAGTATCTTCGCAGGCTGTAGGAAACCCTAGAGAGGGCCCAGTTGCCTTTGAGGTTCTTATAGGCTCCTACCAAATTACAATGGCCAGATTGAGCACATAAAAATACAGGACACCCTGACAACACTTGTTTTTCTCATACACATTTTAAAATTGACATATAATTCACATGCCATAAAATACACCTTTTTATTTTTTAAAAAAAGATTTTATTTATTTGACAGAGAGAGACACCGTGAGAGAGGGAACACAAGCAGGGGGAGCGGGAGAGGGAGAAGCAGGCTTCCCGCGGAGCAGGGAGCCCGATGTGGGGCTCGATCCCAGGACCCTGGAATCATGACCTGAGCTGAAGGCAGACACTTAATGACCGAGCCACCCAGGCGCCCCTTATTTATTTATTTTAAATATACCTTTTTATTCTATTGTGTATAGTATACAATGGAATATTATGCAGCCATCAAAAAATGAAATCTTGCCATTTGCAACGACGTGGATAGAACTAGAGGGTATTATGCTAAGCAAAATAAGTCAGTCAGAGAGAGACAATTGTCGTATGATCTCACTGATAGGTGGAATTTGAGAAACAAGACAGAGGATCATAGGGGACGGGAGGGAAAAATGAAACAAGATGAAACCAGAGAGGGAGACACACCATAAGAGACTCTTAATCTCGGGAAACAAACTGAGGGTTGCTGGAGTGGAGGAGGGATGGGGTGGCTGGGTGATGGGCACTGGGGAGGGTGTGTGCTATGGTGAGCGCTGTGAATTGTGTAAGACTGATGAATCACACGGGCGCCTGGGTGGCTCAGTCGTTAGGCATCTGCCTTCGGCTCAGGTCATGATCCCAGGGTCCTGGGTTCCAGCCCCGCATCGGGCTCCCTGCTCCGCGGGAAGCCTGCTTCTCCCTCTCCCACTCCCCCTGCTTGTGATTCCCTCTCTCGCTGTGTCTCTCTCTGTCAAATAAATAAATAAATAAAATCTTTAAAAAAAGAAAAAAGACTGATGAATCACAGACCTGTACCCCTGAAACAAATAATACATTATATGTTAATAAAAAGTAAAAATAAATAAAAATAAAATGTACCTTTTTAAAGAATACCATTCAGTGGTTTTTAACGTATTCTCAGAGTTGTGTAATCATCACCACTATCTAATCCCAGAACATGTCATCAACCCTAAAAGAAAACCTTTACCCATGAGCAGTCACTATCCTCCGTCTCCAGCCTCTGGTAACCACCAATCTGCTTTCTGTCTGTGCGGATTCGTCTGTTCTGGATGTTTCATATACATGGGATCCTACAACACGTGGCCTTTTGTGTCTGGCTTCCTTCGCTCAGTACGTTTTCAAGGTTCATCCATGTCATAGCTTGAATCAGTGCTTCATTCCTTTTTTCTGGCTGAATAACATTCCATTGTGTGGATGGACCACATTTTGTTTCTTCATTCATCTGTTAATGGACAGTTGAGTTTTCCCACTTTTTAGCTATTGTGAATAGTGCTGCTATGAACATTCACACACAAGTTGTTGTGTGGACATATGCTTTCAGTGCTCTTGGGTTTACACTTAGGAGTAGAATTCCTGGCTCATATGGTAACTCTTTATTTCAGACTTTTTCAAAAACTGCCAGACTGTTATGGGCTGTCCAAAGCAGCCGCTGTTATGGGCTGAGTAGCATCCTTCCAAAAACTTGTATGTTGAAATCCTCACCATCCGTACTTCGGAATGTGGCTATATTTGGAGATAGGGCCTTTATGAGTAGGAGAAGCAGACTTCCCGCCGAGCAGGGAGCCCGATGCGGGGCTCCATCCCAGGACCCTGAGATCGTGACCTGAGCCGAAGGCAGACGCTTAACCGACTGAGCCACCCAGGCGCCCCAGAGATAGGGTCTCCAAAGAGGTAAGTAAGGCAAAATGAGGTTATTTGGGTGGATCCTAATCCATTATGTGGTGTCTTTATAAGAAGAGATGAGATAGGGCGCCTGGGTGGCTCAGTCAGTGGAGCGACTGCCTTCGGCTCAGGTCATGATCCCAGGGTCCTGGGATGGAGCCCCGCATCGGGCTCCCTGCTCAGCAGGAAGCCTCCTTCTCCCTCTCCCACCCCCACCCCCGCTTGTGTTCCCTCTCTCGCTGAGTCTTTCTCTGTCAAATAAATAAATAAACCTTAAAAAAAAAAATAAACCATCCTCAAATGATCCTCTGGAGGCATCAGAAAGTTCTGGCTGAATGAATGAAAAATGTTCTTATTGGTGAATGATGCCTACAAATGTGTTTGATAAACAAACTAACAGATTTTTGCCTTGCAAACTCCTACTTACCCTTCAACATTCTCCTTAGATGCCCTCCGGGGGCATTAGGGTCTTGTGGCCACTTGGAAAGAAGCTCAGCCCTCCTCCGACTACAGGTCAATCGCCCTGGAGGAAAAACGGAAACCGAGGGGGTGGGGAAATTCTGTGGTCCCTCCTGTCACGATTTCCGGGGCCCCTTTTAACCCAGTCCTTCCTGCCTCCCCCTCCCTGCAGCTAGTGAGGCATCTGAAAGTGGGGCAGCCCTAGGGGCATATCCCGGCTGGGTTTCTGGGGCAGCAGGAAGGGGCCCATAAAGGCACCCTGAGGGCTTCCTGGAGTAGGGGGCAGGCAGGCCAATCTGGGTGTGCAGATTTGGCATGGGGAACCTCGGGGCAAGCTTCAGATCCCGACTTTGATAAGGGTAGAAACACCACCTCACCTGCTCATACACCTGCTTTGGTTCCCCAGTGCCCTTGGGAGAAAGCCCAGCCCTTCAAACCGGCTCTTGAGGTCCCCGGCTGCCTTAGCACCTTTGTCTCTCCTGTGGAGCCCCAGACCTGCCATGTTCATCCTGATGTTCCCCAAAGCATCCCTTGAACTTTGCCTCTGCTGTGCCCTCAGCCAGGAATGCTCTTTCCATAAACGAGTTCAAGAGCCCCCTTCTCTGGGCCTCCCTCCGAACTCCCCCTTGGGACATCCCCAGCCTCTGCCCCTCCCTGCACCCAGCCCTGACGCCAAGGAGCTGGGGGCATCTGTGTCCAGCTCTGCCCCCTCCTCCACTTTTCTCCCTCCCTCAGTGTCTTTCCAGTAGCTGCTCTGACTTTGGGGGGGCTGGGAAACAGCTGCAAAGGCCACTGGGGGTCCCCCAAAATGATTAATTATATCATCTGCCTGGTGGGCATTACCTGCCAGGAGCCCAGCCCTCCTTTATCCTCACGATCGCCTATTTTGCAGATGGGGTAGCTGAGGCCTGGAGGGGCCAACCTTGGTGGTGGGGCAGCGCTGGGGCATGAGGCTTACTCCCGAGATGCAAAGCTCAGCCTCGCGGCGGGGGCAGGGCAGGGGGAGCCCTCTGTCTGAATCCATCTCTTCATGTGCAGCTGGGGACTCAAGGGGTCTGGGCACTTCAGGGCTCAGTTTCTCCATCTGTGAAATGGGACACATAAATGGTGTCTCCTGGAGTTGGGGTCTCAGGATCCTCGAGAGGAGGCCAAGGGTTTGGCCCTATTTCTAACCATCGCTTCCATTTTTCTTTATGTTTCTCTCAATCTGTCTCTGTCTTTGTCTCTGCCCTTCCTCCAGGCCACACACATCAGTCCTGCAGCCCACTCCACCCTCTGGCCTGGCCTACTGCCAGTCAAGGCTGCTCTGTGCAGGGTCATGGGGTCCCCGTCCCCATTGTGCCAGGCCTGGGACACTGCCTCTTTGTTCCCATGGCTCTGACCTCATGGCCTCCTGGGCGCCTGACCCTGACTGGCCCAGCTGACATCGGAGAACACTGGCTACTCATGGGGCTGGCACCTTCTGTCCAGCTAGGGCTTGGGCCAGCAGAATAGACCCCCAGATCCGTGGCCCTGGATCAGACTTGCCCCACGGGTGGGTTTGTGGCCGGGATAAGGCCACCGCCACCGAGCTGACTTCCTGGGTTTCTCTTTCAGTTTGACTTGCACCAGGAGGGGCCATGACACCTAAGTTTTTTTTTTTTTTTTTTTTTTTTTTAATCTTTTAAGTCTTCTTTCTTACTCAGCTTCAACATGTTCAGGGGCGAGGACGGGGTGGCTGGCGGAAGTTCATCTGGGCCTGCAGGCCTCTGTGTGGGCTCAATGGGGCAGGCGTGGGCCAGGCTGGTCCCCCTCCTTCTGCTCCTGCTCCCAGGGCGAGGCGGTGAGTGCCCCACCCTGACACCATGGCTCTTCTTGCTGGGCGCCAAGTGTGTGGAGGGCTGTGGACCTGGGATCTGGGGTAGGTTCTGTGTCTCTGTGCCTCAGTCTGTCCCTCTTGTCAAATGGGAGATTGGCTTCTAGGGTCAGACTTGGGCATCTAAGCTCTGGTCTCGACTTTGTCTTCTGTGGAATGGGCGGAATCTCTGAATCTTTCTCTCTTCCCGGAGTTCTGTGAGAAATGCTAAGAAAAGGATAAGGAGGGGCGCCTGGGTGGCTCAGAGGGTTGGGCGTCTGCCTTCGGCTCACGTCATGATCCCAGGGTCCTGGGATCAAGCCCCACGTCTGGCTCCCTGCTCCGCGGGGAGCCTGCTTCTCCCTTTCCCTCTGCCTGCCACTTGGCCTGCTTGTGATCTCTCTCTCTGTCAAATGAATAAATAAAATTTTAAGGGTGCCTGGGTGGCTCAGTCGTTAGGCGTCTGCCTTCGGCTCGGGTCATGATCCCAGGGTCCTGGGATTGAGTCCCGCATCGGGCTCCCTGCTCGGCAGGGAGCCCGCTTCTCTTTCTACCCCTGCCTGCCACTCCCCCTGCTTGTGCTCTCTCTCAAATAAATAAATAAAATCTTTAAAAATAAATAAATAAATAATAAAATCTTTAAAAAAAAGAAAAAGGATAAGGAAAAGTATGTAGATAATTGATATACATGATCACTGATTATGTTTATAGTGTATCTTATATTATTATATAAAACATACACACATACTGTCTCTCCATCTCGTGGAATCGAATGGGAAGGAGTCCAGACCCCTGCAGATGACTGGGTTTGAACTCTAATTCCAGCTCTGCTGTTGCTGCCGTGTGACCTCGGGCCACTACTTTGCCTCTCTGTGCCTCAGTTTCCCTCTCTGTAAACTGAGGATCAGCAACGTTTCAGGGCCCTCCGGGGTCAGGCAGGGCTGGAGACCAGAGACTGGGAGGAGGACCGGGGATTCTAAGTTGCTTTGGAAGAGCAGCCTATGAAGTTGATGAGTGGATGAATGAGCGGGTGGATGGGTGGGTAGATGGGTCGATGGATGGAAAGGTGGATGGATAGTAGGACAGATGAATGCATGCATGCATGGTGGGTGGATGGGTGGAAGGTTGGATGTGTGGATGGATGGGAGGCTGGGTGGGTGAATCCATAGATGGGAGAGTGGATGGGTGGATGGATGGTCGCTTGGCAAGCCCCCAGCCTGAGCCCCTTCCCCATGCAGTGAAAGACTGGGAATGTCATTATCTCTTCGTTGTCTTTGCAGCTGAAGCCTGCAGTACCAGTGGGTGCTGTTTTCAGGACCTGCCATATCCGGATGCAGACTCAGGTCTGAGACAATTCCCCATTGTGGGGAGAGGTCATGCTGGGTTCTGACTGATCCTTCCCTAGCAGGTCCTCTCTCAGCTCCCTCCTGCCCAGCCAAAGATTCAGGCCCACCTGAGGTCTAGCCTACTGTCAGCCTACTTTCAGACAGCCTACTGTCCTGTCCTCACCAAGCTCGGGTGTCCTGGGGGACCCCACCAAGGGTCTGCTACCGAGCAGGCACTTCGTCCATTCTTTTGTGCAAGAACTATTTACTGAGCACCTACTGTGTGCAGACACAGTCCTAGGTGTGAAAGAATCAGCTACAAGCCCAACTGACTTCCTGGGGTCACAGCCGAGTGTGGGAGGTGGATAAAAGGCAAACAAACACACAGCATACCAGAACGTGCTATGAGAAACCAGACAGAGGAAGGTGAGGGACAGAGGAGGGGGCTGCTTCAGGCTGGCTGGTGGTCAAGGAGGTGACACTGAAGGAGAAACTGGAATGTTAAGATCTGGGGGAAAAGCATTCCAGGCAGCTGGCACAGCATGTGCAAAGGCCCAGAGGTGGGAGTGAGCCCGGTGTGTTTGAGGACTGGTGAGGAGGCTGGTGTGGGTGGAGCAGGGGGAGCAGGGGAGAAGGCAGGAGACAGGAGGAAAAGGTACAGGGAGGGTGCTGGGAGTGGGCTGAGGCTGAGGTTGACACCGGGTTACTTAAATGTCACAAAGATTCATCCTGAGTGCGCACCAGCAAGGAGGGCCCTCCTCCCCACTCTTGGTCCATTCTCAAACCTCTGGGATCTCCTCCAGGCTCGGCTTCAGGCCCCAGGGACCTGAACTGCTACCGGATAGTCAGCGCTGGTTATGAATGTTCCTGGAAGTATGAGGGCCCCACGGCTGGGGTCAGCCACTTCCTGAGGTGCTGGTGAGGACCCCGCCCCAGTCCCCAAACCCTCACACGTCATCCCGCACTTGCTCCTGCCCCCATGCCCCTGCTCTCAGAGGTGTGACCTTAGCAGGGTCCTTGCCCTTCCTGGAGGCTGTGTCTCATGTGAGAAGGGAGGGTGAGGACTCTATTTGGGGGGGGCTGTCAATGTAGGTGGGCATCCAGGTTGGGTGGCAATGAAGGTCCCTCTAGTTCTTCCTTCCTCCTCACCCGCTCACCCATTTGTCCATCCTTCCATCCATTCATTCATTTCTTCCTTCCACCTGTGGCAGCCCATCTTGCAAGATTCTGGGGTCCCCCAAACCGCTCAGTTGCAGGGCTGATCCCCATAGAGTCCCCAGGCTGGGGGGCGGGGAGTCAAAGGGGCAGAAGAAGATGCTGGGATGTGATGCGCACCATCTGCTGGGGCTGCTGAGCCACGCTGCTGCGTGTCCCTAGGACGCCAAACTCAGCACCAATGCTCCCCTCGCGCAGCCTCAAGTCTGGGCACTGCTGCTACTTCGCCGCGGGCTCAGCCACCAGCCTGTGGTTCTCTGACCAGGACGGCATAGCTGTGTTTCAGCCCGTCACGCTCTGGGTGGAATCTCGAGCCGAGAACCGGACGCAGAAGTCGCCTAAGATCACCCTGAAGCTTCATAGCGCAGGTCAGCACCCTGTTCTCCTCCTCCCTGCTGCCCCTTCCTCACCCACAGACGCCGCTGATCCCTGAGCCTAGATCTGTGCAGATTTGGGCCAGGGGCTTGCTAACGCCAATGATTTTCGCATCAAACATTGTTGCGGGACATGGCAGAGTTTTTCACGGTCCCCTCGCCAATCCCCAGCTGCTGGATACTTCGGTTGCTTCCGGTTTCTCCCTGAAACTGTAATACTGCTGGGATCGTGTTGGGTCTTCAATATCTGTTTTCACGACGCAGCCACGTACATATAAAACATCTAGCATTTGCACTGCTACTCTGCTACGCTGAGTCACAGGGGACATGAGCGAGGCCAACACAGTTTGCAGCTCTGGGCTGGGATTAGGGTGAGGTGAGGGAGGAAACTGCCTTGGGCACAAAATTGTAAGGGGGTGCCAAAAAACTCAGTAGTCAACATAAATAATTCTGTAAAGCGGTATTAAAAAAATCAAAATTAATGCCAAAAAAATCCGTGATGAACAAAATATCAAATTTTAAGATGAAGACAGGATCCGACCGTGTATTTGTACAACTTTGTCTTTCTTGCCTCCCTGGAGTCCTGTCCCTGTCTCTGCCCTCATGGAGCCCCCGATTCAAGTGGGAGTGATGAACAGGAATGATTATTACATATGAGGAGATACTGCCGGGAGGTCAAGGAGGCCTCCAGCTCAAGCTGAGCCTGGAAGGATAAAAAGGATCCAACAAGAATAAAGTGTAGAGAAGTGTGTTCCAGGCAGAGGGCACAAGGGCATAGCAAGTGCAAAGGCCCTGAGGTAGAATCAGGCATGGTATGACCAAGATGCAGAAAGAATGATAGATGTTTCTTTTTAGGTCTGGGTCTAAAAAATTAGTAAGATTTCCCTAATAGTCCTCTAAAAAAAAGTAGATTCAATTAATTATCCTCTTGTCAGCAATTCACAAGAGTGCCCGTCTCAACAAAATGCTGCCACAAGGAGTGTCAGTCTTGAATCTTTGATCCATAGAATCCCAGGCTTAGATGGAACCTGTAAGGGTTTCCCTGATGCACATACTGGGGACTCGGTTGGTTATCCTGGGCTGGGTGGGGCAGATTTTCTGAAATGTTCAGGACCAATAACTCGCACATATGCTGGCTTCCCTCCCCAACCCCCATCTTTGCTCCCAGTTAAATACGACCCTCCGTCAGCCAGCGACATCACCGTGTCTGGGTCCGCGGGGCAGGTGCTCTTGAAGTGGGAGACCCCAGCCCGCCAGGATGGCGCCGAGGTGCAGTTCCGGCACCGGACACCCGGCAGCCTGTGGAAGTTGGTGAGTTTATTCCCCAGGTCAGGAGAGAACACAGGCTTCTCCTCAGGGAACATGACCCCCAAATCAGTTTCACCATCTCTACATCTATCACCCCTCCCGCCTGGCCTCCACTCTTGCCCTGTAGCTAGCCTCTGGAGTCTCTTTGACACTCAGATCTCATCATGACCTCCTTTGCTCACACACCCTCCATTGCTCCCTATTACCTTCAGGAGGGCATCCTTTCCTCAGCTGGCCCCAGGTACGCTCACCCACCTGGCGCTTCCTCTGGCCCCCTCCAAATGGCCATCATTCTTCATCCACGCCCTCATTTCCAGACTCTGCCTTTGCCCATGCAGTCTCCTCCATCTGCACACCTTCTTCTCCATCTGAGCTCATGAGAATCCAGCCCACCTTCAGGGTCCAGCTCAAGGGCCACCTCTCTAGGAAGCTGCCCTTCCACTCACTCAGCTTCCTTCCTTCCTTTTCTCCTTCTTCTTCTTCTTCTTCTTCTTCTTCTTCTTCTTCTTCTTCTTCTTCTTCTTCCTCTTCTTTTCTGAGATATAATTGACATATAACATTATATTGGTTTCAGGTGTACATCATTATTTGATATTTGTATATATTGTGAAATGATCACAATTAGTCTAGCTACTTTCCTTCACTATCTGAAGTACAAACCTTATGTCTTGTAAGAACTTTTACGATCTACTCTCCTAGGAACTTCCAAGTACATTATACAGTATTATGAACTATAATCACCATGCGGTACATGACATCCCTAGGACTTATTTATTTTATCACTGAAGTTTGTACCTTTTGATCCCCATTCCACCCACCCCCCAACCCCTGCGTCTGGTGACCACCAATCTGTTCTCCATGTCTATGAGTTCCATTTTGTTTTGCTTTAGATTCCACGTGTGCAAGAAATCCTATGGTATTTGTCTTTCTCTGACTTATTTCACTTAACATAATGCCCTAAAGGCCCAACCACATTGTCACACATGGCAGGGTTTCCTTCTTTTATAGCTGAATAATATTCCATTATATATATATATATATATATATATGCCACATGTTCTTTTTCCATTCTTCCGCCCCTGGACACTTAGGTTGCTTCTGTATCTTGGCCATTGTACATGATGCCGCAGTGAACATGGGGGCGGATATATCTTGAGTTAGTGTTTTCATTTCCAGATAAAAACCCAGAAGTGGAATGGCTGGATCATATTGTAGTTCTTTTTTTTTTTTTAAGATTTTATTTATGGGGTGCCTGAGTGCCTCAGTCGTTAAGCATCTGCCTCCGGCTCAGGTCATGATCCCAGGGTCCTGGGATCGAGCCCCACATCGGGCTCCCTGCTCCGCGGGGAAGCCTGCTTCTCCCTCTCCCACTCCCTCTGCTTGTGTTCCCTCTTTCGCTGTGTCTCTCTCTGTCAAATAAATAAAATCTTTAAAAACAAGATTTTATTTATTATTTATTTGACAGAGAGAGAGAGCACAAGCAGGGGGAGCGGCAGGCAGAGGGAGAGGAAGAAGCAGGCTTCCCGCCGAGCAGGGAACCCGATGTGGGGCTCGATCCCGGCACCCTGGGATCACGAAGGCAGATACTTAACCAACTGAGCCACCCAGGCGCCCCTGTCTTGTGTCTTTTTGATGATAGTCATTCAAACTGAGGTGATATCTCCTTGTGGTTTTGATTTGCACTTCCCTGATGATGAGTGATGTTGCACGTGGTTTATCTACTTGTTGGCCATCTGTATGTCTTCCGTGGACCTTCATTCATTCCGCAGCTACCTTCTGCTGCCCCCCTCTGTTGCCCTCACGCAGAGCAAGCGGGGCCTGTAAGAGACCTCAGCCCTTGCTTATTAGGCTCCAAGAAACTCCTAGATTGGGAGAAGACAGAGACCTCCAGCCTCTGAATTGTGGTGTCTCCTCCTCCCTCAGACAGGGAGCATCTTGAGGCCAGGGAGCTATCCAGCTTCAGCCTCATCTTCCCTCCCAATGTTGGGCCCCCCCTGAGCCTCAGTGACCCCATCAGGTGAATGGGATCAGTTAGAGACAGGTGATATGGGACCCTTGCTGGGGAGGGGTATCTCTCTCTTTTTTATTTCCAGCCCCCTAAGCACACTCTGCAGTAGACCCTGCATCCCCCCTTTTGCAGAGGAGGGAGCTGAAGCTCAGGATGTTGGGGGACCCCTCCACATCAAACAGGGCATGGGGGGTAGGCCGTGTCCTAAACCTGACTTTCCTGACCCCCAACACCACTGACATACAGGTTTTTCCCTCCTAAAATAATTTTTGTAGGAAAGTACAGAATAATAATTTTGCCTCCTGAAATCTTTTTTTTTTAAAGATTTTATTTATTCATGACAGAGGGAGAGAGAGAGAAGCAGGCTCCCCGCTGAGCAGGGAGCCCAATGCGAGACTCGATCCCAGGACCCTGGGATCATGACCTGAGCCGAAGGCAGACGCCCAACCCTCTGAGCCACCCAGGCGCCCGCCTCCTGAAATCTTTTAAGCAAAACTTACTTTGGGAATAATCTTAGATTTTCAGAAAAGTTCCAAGGAAGTAGCAGCTCCCCTAGAAACGGCCCCCAGCCTCCCCACATGCGAACATCTTACGTTTTTGAGTGCGTCTGTCCACAACTGAGACGAACATTGGAATGTTGCTAGGCACTAAACCAGAGATTATGCAGATATCCCCCGTTTTTCCACGCATGTCCTCTTTTTTTTTTTTTTTTAAACAAATGTCCTCTTTCTGTTCCTGGATCTAATCCAAGCTCCCACATTGCGCTTAGAATAATTGTTTAAAATGGTTAAAGAGCTAATATTTTTTTCAAATATTTTTTTTACCTTTTACCAAAAGTAAAACTACATATACATATGTATGATCTGGTCTTAGGGCAACTGCGGACATCAGGAGGATGCTGGCTTCGGTGAGAATAATAGTACCAACAACAGCGGCAGCATGCTAGCATTAATTGAGCACCCACTGTATGCCAGGCCCAGTGCTAAATTCTTTGTATGCTTGCTGGCCCGCCCTGTAGTTCAGTATTGGATTATTCCCATTTCACAGGTGAGGAAACAGCCTTGGGGGTGAGAAGCCATTCATTGATCAGGGTCGCATCCCATTGGGTTGGCCCAGCCTCGACTCCGACCTAGGGCCAGGGCAGGAATGGGAGATCTTGAGGCCACCCAAGAGGACAGGGCCTGGCCTATTCCCATGGTGGCCCAAGGGCCCAGCACACATTTGGCATTCAATAAGTGTATGATGGCTAAATGACGAGTGCCAAGCCCCAGGCACCCCCAGGTATGGGACAGCCCTTCAGCTTGATGTTTGGCCTATTTCCCCGCCAGAGTCCTGCCTATGCCCCTTGCGGACGGACGCTGCCCAGGAATTCCAGCTACGCAGGCGGCGACTCAGGCCGGGAGCCCCAGGAGACCCCTGGAGCAGCTGGAGCAGCCCCGTGTGTGTCCCCCCTGGTGAGAACACTCAGAGCCACAGGAACGGGGCAGGCATTAGAAATACAGCAGTGGGGATTAGAAATAAGGTGGCGGGTGTTAAAAATAAGGCAGAGGGAGAAATTCGTAGTAATTAGTAAAAGGTGGCAGGGCAGGGCTCCTGGGTGGCTCAGTCGGTTAAGCGTCTGCCTTCGGCTCAGGTCATGATCCCAGGGTCCTGGGATCGAGCCCCGCATCGGGCTCCCTGCTCAGCGGGGAGTCTGCTTCTCCCGCTGCCCGTCTTCCTTCTCGTGCTATCTCTCATTCTCTCTCTCTCAAATAAATAAATAAAATCTTTTAAAAAAAGTTCCATTTTAATCATTTTAAAGTGTAGGGTTTTTTTTTTTTAAGACCTTATTTATTTATTTGAGAGAGAGTGCACACGCATAGCAGGGGGAGGGGCAGAGGGATAGGGAGAGAGAGAGTCTCAAGCAGCCTCCCCATCAAGCCTGGAGCCCGATCCCACAACCTGAAGACCGTGACCTGAGCTGAAATCAAGAGCCCAATGCCTATCTGACTGAGCCACCCAGGCGCCTCGAAAGTGTACAGTTTTATGGCGTTAAGTATAGTCACGGTGTCGTAGACTAGATCTCCATGTTTCCGATTTTGAAAACTATTTAACGACCCATGGGAATCCTGTGTTTCAAGGGAGGGAAGGAAAAGGTCCTGGGTCCCCGTGCGGGGTCTGCGGGAGGTGGCGGTGAGCAAGGGACCACCCCCAGCGTCACTGTCTTGTCACCCCATTGCAGAACATCCCCCAAAGCCCACCTTGAGGTTCTCGGTGGAGGCTCTCCGTCCACATGGAAGGAGGCAGGTGACCCTGCACGGGCAGGTAATGGGCCGTCACAACGCTGTGGGGTGGCCAGGGATGGAGCGAAGGAGACAAGAGGCTGGAGTCGGGGTGTGCAAGTGGGATACGGTGAGGGAAGGGACGTGGAGGTGGCAAGGACTCCAAGGACTGTGCGTTTAAATCTGCAGTTAATGGGGAGCAATGGAAGGTGTGTGAGCAGAGAAATATGACTGGGTTCAGGTGTTCACAGACTTCCCCTGGCTGCCATGGCGGGGGAACAGACTGTGAGGGGCTAGGGTGGAAGGAGGCAGGCCGGGGTGGGCCATGTTGGTTTGGGTGGGAGATAATTTCTTTGAAATCCCCCAAACAACACATTAAGAGCAGTCTAATTAACCCCTGTTTTACAAAGAAGGAAACTGAGGCACAGAGGGAAAATTTCTTGCCCAAGTCAGGGGCAAAACCATCAGATGTTTCACCCACTGGCTTTACCATAACTAACTTGGCCAGGTCCCTAATGGGCTGGCACAGTAAGGCTGCAGTAAAGCTTTACTTCCTGCCTTTCCTCTCATTTGAATTCCCTTTCTTAGAAAACATTTCCCGGCTGGAGGTAACTGGGTCCAAAGATAGAAAAAACATTTTTTTCCTGGCTCTCCATAGGTTTTGCCAAATTATTTTCCCTCCAAGCCAACATGCACTGGCCATGAATGCCTATTTCCCAGCAGCCTCGCCAGCACTGCGGGTTTTGTTTTGTTTGGTTTGGTTTGTTTTTTAAAAACTTTTGGCTCATGTCACAGACTGTGGTCCATGGATGAGTCTGTTCAGGGGCTGCACCCTGATGTTGGCCCATGGGCATGATGACTGTGTTCAGGTCTCCACAAACCATTTCTTACATTCACGACAGCTGCCCCAGCTTGAGCTTCCAGAAGGCTGCCTCGGGTCCAACTCTGGCGGGGAGGTGACCTACCGCGCCCGCCTGCACATGCTGTCCTGCACGTGTAAGACCAAGTCCACAATGACCTTTCAGCTGAGGAAACCACTCAACCTCGCTGGCGCAGCCTATGACCTGGCTGTTGTCTCCCAGAATCGCTTCGGCCCTGGCCCCAACCAGACGTGGCACATTCCTGCCCAAACCCACACCCACACAGGTGCCTCCTCTGGCCGGGGAGGGCTGCGGGAGGGCCTCTCAGAGCTCAGCACTTACTCTGAGCCTCCGCTAGACTAGGGTGAGGCAGGTGAGGCACAAAAATCAAACAGGTGTCTAATTTAGGAACGTGTCAAAATCACTAATTAAGGTACATACTGTTAAAATGCAATATTTAAAAAAAAAAAAAAAACTCTAGCTGGCAAACTACAGCCCAGGCCAACCACCTGTCTTGGTAAATAAATTTTTCTGGGACCAGGGCGGGGATCAGGGTGTGGTGAGTGAGGCCAGATGGCACAAGTGCACGATTGATCCTATCTTCATTTAAAATCTTGATATTTGCTTATGTATATGTATAGACATGCTTAAAGATGTACCTATATTTATAGATATGAGGAAAAAAATCAAGACTTACATTTATGTATACATGCACGTGAATACATATACATATGTTATTGAGGTGAAATTCACATAGCAACATTAGCCACTTTAGTAGGTACGATTCAGTGGCATTCCGGACATTCACAATGATGGGCAACCATCACCTCTGTCTAGTTCTAGAACATTTCTGTCATCCCTAAAAGGAGACCCCATGCCCATCAGCAGTCACCCCCTGTCCCTTACCCCGGCCCCTGGCACCCACTAACCTGCTTTCTGTCTCTATGGATTTGCCCGTTCTGGACGTTCCATATACATGGGGTCACACACACTGTGGCCTCTTGTGACCGGCTTCTCTCACCCAGCGTCATGTTTTTGAGGTTCCCCCATGTTGTAGCGTGTGTCAGGGCTTCACTTCCTTTTTGTGGCTGAGTAATGTTGCACTGTGCGGATAGACCACGTGGTGTTTATCTGTTTATCCATTAATGAACATTTGGGCTTTTCCCACCTTTCGGCAATTAGGAAGAGTGCTCACCACATATTTTTGCATTCATTTTTTTGATTCTTAAAAAATATTGCCTCGAAACAGTGTTTATCATGATGACTGAGTTCTTTGGTGCCTCCAGTTTTGTGCCTGATGCGTGCCTCACTCACCTCACCCTGGTCCTGGGCCTACTGAACACCCAGCAGTCCTGTGAGGACAGGGCTGGTACAGTGATGCCCATTTCAGAGATAAGACCGCTGAGGCTCAGAGAGGGAAAGCCCGATGTCATGGTGGCACAGCCGCGAGTCTGTCAGCTCCTGGCCTGGTTTGGGTCATGGCCCCACTGTGTGACCGTGCGCCAGTGGCTCTCCCTCTCTGAGCCTCAGTTTCTGTATGATTGGGGTGCTCACGGTCCCACTTTGTAGCAGAGTGGCGCCCGTCAAGCACTCAGCACCGGCCTGGCGCATACAGCTGGTGCTCAGTAAATGGTAGTTGTTGTCCCTGGAATTGGAAACAGTGCCCGCCTCCCTGAGGTTGTCGCTGATGCCCTTGCTGGAGGGAGTGGGGAGAGATGAGCCCCTGGGGACCAAGTGGGTGTGCCCTCAGGCCTGGGAGGCCCATCCTGCCCCAGACCCACCGCTACTGGGGGAGGCAGGTGGTGGGGGGCCGGGCATCTGCTAGAGCAGGAGAAGCCCCCCCAGGCTGGTGGGGTGGGGGGGTGCGGTACAGGCAGCACTGATGGTGGGCGTTTTGGCAGGGAACTCACGGTCAGACCTACCTCATTCAAACCGCCCTTGCTAGCCTAACCCTGCCTCTGTGCCCGGTCCCCAGCCCGGCAGCCCCTGGTATTGAGGAGACAGAGCTAGATACAGAAACTCGCAGCCCTGTGCGGTTAGAGTTTGGCGAGAGGGTGGGATGGGGCTATAGGAGCCTTGGACTGGCGGGGTGGGGGGGGGCGGGGGAGGGGAGTGGAGCTGCTGTTCTGATGTGCCTCTCTCATCTCCTTCCAGAACCAGGGGCTCTGAATATCACTGTGGGAGCCAATGGGACCACCATGCACTGGCCAGCCCAGGCCGGGGCCAAGGCATATTGCATTGAGTGGCAACCCCAGGGCCAGGACAGGAACCTTACCAACTGCGCACTGACTCCACCCCAGGACCCGGACCCTACCGGAATGGGTACCGTAACATCAGTCACACCGCCTCTGCCTCCTCCCTTAGAGCCCCCGGTTGGCTCCAACCTACAGGGGCCATGCGTGTGAGGTGCCTGAGGCCCAGAGCGGTCTTGCTCCTTGCCCAAGGTCACACAGAGGTGGGAACAGGCTGAGGCTTGGACCCTGCCACCCATGTGGGTCTGAAGCCTCCTGCCAGTATCCTGAGGTGTCAGGGCTTATAGCCCCGGGCAGATTGCACCCCAAGAGGTAATGAGTGTCACATCCCAGGGTGTTTGTTAAACAGCCACCTGTGCCAAAGAAGGTGGCAGCTCACAAGATGCTGGTGGCAAATTAATGAGGCCTCTGGAGAAAAAGGGGAAACCTTAGAGCCCCGGCAGCCTCTCACTCTCCCACTTCCTACCCTGGGCCTGGCCAGGGCCCCCGGAAACCTCAGCCTCAGCCTGGCCCTTGAGGGGTTCCTAGACTAGGGAGACAAGAGCTGGATCCAGATGCACCTGGCCCCGTAGAGTCCGGGCTGGGCTGCAGGTGGGAGATGGGCTATGGGGAGAATAAGGAAGGGATCTTGGAAGAGGGGACATTGGTGCAAGGGCTTTGAAGCATGAGCAGGAGTGCTCTAGAAGTTCCTGGCATGCGGTACAGCTAGTGCAAAGAGGCGGAGGTGGTGATACAACCTATTTACCAGCCTGGGCCTTGTCAATCCTTCTAGCAACCTACAGCTGGAGCAGAGGATCTGGGGCAATGGAGCAGAAGGTGTGTTACCACATCATGATCTTTGCCTCTCCACGCCCAGAGAAGCCCATCTCGTGGTCCACAGTCTTGTCCACCTACCACTTTGGGGGCAATGGTGAGTAGCCCACACCTGCAAGGGTGGTCTCTCTGGAGGGCTTGGTGGTGGCCTTGGGTGTCGGGAGGAGGGAACGAGCACTTGGAGGCACTTACTCTGGGTCAGGCCTTGGCCAGAAGCCAGACGTGCAGAAGTCCCAGGGGATCCCGAAGACTCCCCGCCCCGAGCGGCATTGCCCCATTTCATACATAAGAAAAGTGAGTCTCAGAGAGGGGCAGCGATGGGGCCTGAGTCATGGAGCCGGGATTCAAACCCAGGCCCGCCTGACTCTGTCGCCAAGCTTCCCTGGGTGTCTGGACAGTGCCAGGCTGGGCAGGCAGGAAACGTTCAGCCGGTGCTCTTGGAATTGACCATGGCGATGGTGCTAGTTGCAGCCTCGGGGGCCGGACGCCCACAACACGTGTTGGTGAAGAAGCTCAGCCAGGACTCCGTGTCTGTGGACTGGACACCATCCCCGCTGAGCACGTGCCCGGGGGTCCTGAAGGAGTACGTCGTGCGCTACCAGGATGAGGAGGAAAACCTCACGTCTGGTACGTGAGGCAGCGCGGGCTGGGCGGGGGTAAGAGGGGGCCTGGGGCCGACGTCTGCCTTGCTAGGGGACCCTGAGCACCTCACTGGCCCTCTCTGGGCCTTGGTTTTTCCCACCCATAAAGGAAGGTTGTTCGACTCAGAGAGGCCGGACTGCCCTTTCCGGACCCCCAGGAGGGCCCAGTGGGCAACAGCTGTGGGCTCATGATGGACTCCGTGTATGGATGGCAACCCTATGCGAATTGGCAACTCGACTTCCATGGAGCGGGATGATGGTGTCCATTTCACAGATGGGGAAACTGAGGCCTGGAGAGGGATTCCTGCCCAAGGGTTAAGCAAGCCTGGATTTGGGCTCAGTCAGGTGCCCCTTCCTGCCCCTTGGGAGGGAAAGAAAACAAAACGTACAGGGCAAGTCTCACCAGTGCTGGGGTTTCCTGCCGTTTCACACACTGGGGGCCCCACCTTCCATGCGGGGAACACGGTCTTTCAGATATGGCCTCACCCAGCCACCGCCTGCAGCAACAGGCCAGGCCAGCAAGACCTGCCACTTCGTGTCTCCGCCTTCTCACCCAGCACCCAGCACCCATCAAGGCATGAATGCCGGGAGGGGGGGCTTGCTGGGGGGAATCTTCTAGCATCAGAGACACAGACATCCTGCCATCCTCTTGATCAACCATTGTTTAGAGGGGGCAAAGGAGGCCAAGTGGGGTTCAGTGTCTTATTCAGGGTGGTGCAGCTGGAAGGAGCCCTTTTACCAATTTGCCAAAAGTCAAAATGCTGAAGATGAACGCGCCAAATGCCCATTGGCCAAATTGACCAATCCCCCTCCCCCCGCTCCAATTTCTTTTGAAGAATATTCCTCTTGAATATATGTATATACGAATAATATAGACTTAGGGTTCTAGGAATTGTTTTCTGCTTGATAACAGCCAACAACTGTATTCTCATTTTAAGGATTTTTACGGAGAGCTTTATTTGTTAAAGCCATCCAATTCCACAGCGTGTGCTGAGGTCCTGCTGTGTGCTGAGGTTGTAGGGACACTGAGGAAGCAAGATAGGCAAAGTTAATGCTGATCTTCACCCTAAAGACGGGAAGGAGGAGAGGGAGGAAACCATGGGGATATCTGGGGAAAGGGTGAGCGAGGTAGAGGAGGCGGGACTGCCAG